TCTCTCATACTTTGGACATATTGTCTGGAGGGACCATTCACTGGAGAAGGATATCATGTTTGGTAAGGTTGAGGGTCAGAGAAAAAGAGGAAGACCCCAACGAGATGGATTGGCCAAGTGGTAGCATCGATAGACTCAAGTGTGGCAACAGTAGTGAGGTTGGCCCAGGATCAGGCAGTGTTTTGTTCTGGTGTGCATAAGGTCGCTATGGGTCGGTACCGACTCGATGGCACCTAACAATAATAACAACAACCAGTACAACATGAGAAAAAAAAACACCATATTAGACCTCATCTTGTATTCTTGGACATTTCTGTGTTTAAAGTTATGACTACAGACTTTTTTTTGTGCCTGGAAACTCTTCCTGCTTCATTATATATTTAAGGTCAGTTTCAGTCATCTATATCTTTGTAACTATCCCAACATTTAGTGGCTTTAAAATAAACTTATTTTGCTTACCAGTTTGTAATTTGGGCAAATCTGGCTGGGTGAGTTTGGCTTTGCACAGACATCATTGTACATCACAAGAGATTGTGAAATGGTGGTTTATTTATTTATTGACAATGAATGTGATACCATTCCTCTTCAATTTGTCGTGACTGACATAGTAAACCATATGATTGCCTGGTTCAAAGTGGTCTGTACCCATTCATTTCAGCTCATTAATGCCCAGGGATTAAAAATTCAAAATGAATTTTTATGCGTTCCATTTAATTTTTGACAACTTTGAATTTTCCTAGACTCATACCTTGTGCATTCCCTGTTCAGATTATTCATGGATGTTTATAGCTGTTTCTCTTCATTTTAAATGCCCCATCAACAAATGAAAAGCCCTGAAAACTTTGCCCAATCACACAATTATGGTCTACTCTACTTATAGGAGGTTGCTTTTCCTCAGTCGTATTTTGAGTGTCTTTCAACCTAAAGGGCTCATATTCTGGTGCTGTATCTGACAGTTTTCTGCTTTTCATGATGTTTTCATTTTCTGGCACTATATTTGATACTGTCTGGCTGCTATTTGCAAGGTTTTTAGTGACTCAACATACAGAGGTAGTCTCATTCATTTTAGTCTGTCTTAGTCTGGAAGCTCTGCTGAAACCTGTAGTACAGGAAGAAAGCAAAATATTGCTAAAAAGACAGGAAAGAAAGAATAGACCAAAATGGATGTCAGAAGAGACTCTGAAACTTACTCCTGAGTATAATGAGGCTAAAGGTACTGGCAGAAGTGATGAAGTAAAAGAGCTAAACAGAAAATTTCAAAAGGCAGCCCAAGAAGACAAAGTAGAATATTATAACGAAATATACAAAGACCTGGTGTTAGAGAACACAAAGGGAGGAACACATAACATTTCTAATGGTGTGAAAGAACTGAACAAAAATTCAAATCTCAAATGGCAGTATTTAAGGATTCATGGGTAGCTCTTTAAGATGAATGCTGGACTTCTAACCACAGTATTGATGGGTCTAGTCTACCAGCCACTCTGTGGTGGAGAGATGATGTTTTCTGCTCAGTTAAAGATTTGCAGCCTTAGAAACCCTAGAGCACGTTTCTACTGAATCAGAACCAACTTGGCAGCACTTAATAATAGGGATTTGGGAAACTTATATTTCTGTTCTCTTTAGCCATGTTGCTAAAAATATGAGTCTATATTCCTTTGGTGTGTGTATATGTGTGGATTTACTTTTTACAACATATCTGTGTTGGTGTTGTTTTTGTTAGGTGTCATCGAGTTGGTACCAACTCATAGCGACCTTGTGCACAACAGAATGAAACATTGCCTGGTCCTGGGCCAATCTCACATTTGGCTGAATAAACCAAGTCAAACCCAGCTTACCAACATCAAGTCAATTGTGACTTCACAGTGATCCTATAGGACAGGGTAGAACTGCTCTCTAGGATTTCCGAGGCTCTAAATCTGTATCAGAGCACACATCCTTAATATTTCTCCTGAGGAGCGACTGGTGGGTGTGAACCACCAACCTTGTGGTTAGTAGCACAATGCTTAATCCTTTGTTGCCCTGTTGTTGTTAACTGCTGTTGAGTGGCTTCCTACTTACAGCAATCCTATCTAGGGTTTCTGAAGAGTGACTGGTGGGGTTGAACTGCCAACCTTACGGATTTAACACAATATATTAAAAGGGAACTCACACTATTATTTATTGATTAGTGTTCTTATTGTGTTGTATTATACCTTTAATTTGGCTCCTTTGGAGTCTTCGTATGGTGCTGTAGGATAAGACCACTAGAACACAAAGTCAGTTTGAACTGCAAGGTAGGCGGTTCAAACTCACCAGCCACTCCTTGGAAACCTTATATTTCAGGGTTGGGGTATCTTTTTTTTTTCTGCCTAAATTTATAACATTCTTTATGAGCCATACAAAATTAGCAACTTAAAAATTAGCCTGCTATTTTTAACTCATGGTGTGTCACCATGGGTTAATGTACAGACCTGCAAGATCAGCGGGTCAAGCTTATCAGCAGCTCCTCGGAAACCCTACAGAGGCTCGCTATAAATTGGAATCAGCTCGCTTACATTTAACAACAGCAGTGTGATGGCTGGAACTTAGTTGCCTTGGCAGGTCTGACGAAATGATTTTGTGGGCTTTGTACTGCTGTGGACCTGATGTTCTCCACCCCGCTCCTATATAGGGTTACTATGAGTTGGAAGCAACTTGATGGCACTAAACAACAACAAACACCTTTATTTAATGATTACAGGATTTTCTCTTGTGTCATTCAGCGTGTCATATTTTGTGTTGGGTATTGTTTGTAATTTATATCTGTAAGACCTCAGATTGTATAGACTAGAGACATGGTCTCTGTGTATGTCAGTTTGCCCTATGATTCATACACATCGACAGTCATAACTCAGAAATTCTGATTACTGTCACACAATTATGTAGTTGTGTAGTTAGTTGACAGGCTTTGTTGTCTGGCCTGGATTAGAATCCATCGTGGTAGATTTGGAAAAATTGCTGAATTTAAGATCACAAGTACCTGGCACAATTAAAAATGCAAAATGGTAGCTGAATAGTATTTTATTTCCTGCTGTTTTACTTGACTGTTGTAAATTGTAAATTGTTCACCCTGATAGTTAAGACTACCCTGTTTATTACATGGGTTCTCAAGAAACTTTGAAATTTTCTTCCGCAGGATTTTGTCTCCACAGTTATTCGATTATTTGACAGCCCCTCAACTTCCATTAGAGCAAAAGCCTTCCTGGTTCTTCTGTATATTTTGATTCATAACCGTGAGATGCTTCTACTCAGCTGCCAAGCAAGGTATGGTTTTCTCTGATGAGTTCATCAATAACTTCAGTCTGGTGCCTGCTTTATTAATATTTTATATGGTTTCTGTAGGCTGTTTCTTAGTCTCCATGTACCTGGTATTGAAAGGTTTTTCTTTTTTTAAAGGTATTTCAGGAAGTTTAATATTGCACTTATAGTCTCAGCTTGGAAACACTGAGAAGTGAAGAAAGACCTTGGGATGAAGCAGGGTGGGAAATGCCTAGATCAGAGAATAATCCAAGGCAGGGTGTGGAAGTTGTAGCTTTTGCATCTTGTTTGATCCGTGGTTTGGCTATATTTTTCCTTACTGTAAAAATTCTGGAAAGAGGGACTGAAGGTCCAGATCGAACAGCTTAATTGGGGCAGAGGAAGATGCTGGTCTATAGTCTGATCATCGCTGGGCAGAGCCCGCACTCTTTCTGGGTTTTAACTCCTTACAACCCTCCAGTCCTGGTGTGGTGGTGTGGGTTAATGCTCTGCACTGCTAAATTGCTGGTTCAAGCTCACCAGTCAATCCTCAGAAATCCTGTACTGGGTTGCTGTAAGTCGGAACTGACTTGATGGCACTTAACAAAAGCAACAAACACTCTATAAAGGGTCCCTATGAATCAGGTCTGACTTGATGGTACATAATAACAACATCCTAAAAAGAGAACCTGAGGGAACAAACAAGATGGCGGATCGGGTGGCTGTATAGCAGAGAGCTCTGCCAACAACAACACAGAATACCTGA